GTTATAGAGCAACTGTTGAAATTAAAGTATATCGTAAAGTTGTATTCGGAAAGAATAAACCAGTTTTATTAAGTAAGGACTTGTGTCGCTAAAGTTTCGTCGGAACGAAGTTACGGAAAATCAACTAACGAACAGAGACGTAACAATATTATACATCACTTTACCCAGGAAAGAAATTAGTAAGTGATAAAATGAAAAGTCGCTATAAGATGTTAATGCTTATGTGACAGGATTCCATCAAGCTAACATGATATTACTGTATAATCCCTGCCACAAGAAAGGACTAACTCTAAAGCTAAGCAGTTGTTGAGAAGGGCCATGTGTTGCAGTGAAAAGAATCAATCATGTGAGTTACAGAATTCAGAAGGACAGGCAGTCAAGAAAAAGAATACTCACAGTAATTGTCTTTTGGGAAAAGGTTAGTGAAAGAATAGCAAACTGGGTAACTTCTGAGAAGAATCTACCAGTGGAAGGTCAACCTGTTGAGAAGCCCAGGGTTCCTGTTAAGACCACTTCCAATGGATCACCAAAAATATAGCCACCGATTGATTCACTTGATCACCTACCTAGAGAGAATTCTCACAATGACAATAAGGGATAAGAGGTCATCCAGTCTGCATACCATAACCTTCAGAGAAGAAACCCACCAAAAAGACTTGGTGGATGAACAGTTTAGTGTACTATTTGGGTATTAGAATTATTTTTATATAATTTTCGCTATATGATGTGTGGCACAGTGTCTGGAAATTTCACGAAAGTTAAGAATTTTAAAAATTTAGTGTAGCATTTAGAGGTAAGAGTGCGATATAAATACGAAATCAGTGAAGCAGTTAGTTAATGAGTGATTCAGTTCAGCATTAGTAGTAAGTTATTAGTAACTCAGTGAATTATTTAGCACGTTTGTTATTAATCGATTAGTTTCGGAATTTCTGTTGAAAAGTTTAGTTGGAGTTAGACATACATTAGTATCTCAGTTTCTATTGAAACACTGTGGAGTTAGGCCTATAACTAGCCTGTAGCAAACGTTAGAGAATAAATAAACTAATTTCTGTCGTTGCATGGATTGGACTTAGCATTCAATTATTTTACCAATTAACCCAAAACTGTCAAAAGAGCCTATTCAAGGATAGAATGTGTTACAACAATAACTTATAACTGTGTATATAAATATTGTTGCGTCAGCGAGGTCACGTGACTAGTATCACGCCACCCGTTTTCTAGAAATATCCTGTTCTTTCAAGAATGCCCAAGCATTTACTAGATATGTGTTAGTCTTGTATATATATAAGACGGTCTCAACGTGACGGGGGGGGGGGGGACAGTGTAGTGAGTAATTGAATGTATGTGGAAAAAATATTGTTGGCCACGTGAGATATAGCGTTTGTTATAGAGCGACTGTTGAAATTAAAGTTTATCGTAAAGATGTATTCGGAAAGAATAAACCAGTTTTATTTAAGAAAGGACTTGTGTCGCTAAAGTTTCGCCGGAACGAAGTTACTGAAAATTAACTAACGAACGGAGAGGTAACAATATAATAGTATGACTATATTGTTGCGTCAGCGAGTCACGTGACTACTATGACGCAACGTTTCTAG